CACTTGTGCTCTTTCTATTTCGTCTCACGTGTACGTTCCGGCTTTGAATGCGATCGTAATAACATTTTCAAAAACGCGGACGCGGAGCGCGCTGTAGGAGCCGCGAGGAAAAATCTCGAGGACTCGTCGCACTGAAAGGAAGAAAAAAATATAAGAAATAAAAAGATATTTATTTGCGTACTCACGTGACATATTTGCTCTTACTAATATAAAATATATTTTAAATACGAAAATGGTAATGCATTTTCTTAAAATTGTTTACTTTCCATGAAAGTAGTTGTTTATTATTCAAATAAATATATTTAGATCTAAGTAAATATGTTATCAGCACATATTGCGAGTAAATATTTCTTATTTTCTCGACATTTTCCCTCTCAGTATAGGCGCAATTCCAAGTTAATTTCGAGCTACTGTTCTTGATAGATCTTATCTATTGTTTTCCTAGTATCTCTCATCACAAGAGCGCTTCCTAATATCACTCGTGATCGAGTAAATAAGAGCACCGTCGGCGTATAGGCGACACGATAGTCGGAACCACTAGCGTTATAATAGAACGCCGGGAATTTATGTACCAGCTTCCTGGAACGTTCCGGATGAGATCCAGGGCAAAGAGGCGGAGGGACACGATCGAGTCCTAATCAATGCCGCGCGTGCGACGACGATGGCGCGCGTCTCTATCGCGTCGCGTTGCCACGGGAAAGCGATTAAGAGTCCCGCGCGTGCAAGGGTCGAGACCCACGTGCGATTCCACATTCATTTCCTACGTGCATCCGTCCATTGTTCCGTCGCCGTGTATATATTTACTACTACTACTACTACACGGCAGGGCGTCGCGCCTTGAGAAACGCGCGCTGCGGGATCGGTACGCGTTCGCGCTGCGCGATCCTCCGGACAACAACGAGCCTCTCGAAGCCACCTGCCTCAGGTGAGAGCCCGGGTGTAACGCGCCCGTCAGAGCCGCTCCGCCACGTAACCGAACGCGGCTCGCGACCGCTCTCTCGCGACTGGCAAAGAGAGCCACGGTTACCGTAGGATACGAGTAAATCGCTCGGACATGTATTCAGTTTTAGCTATTCTGATTATTTTGGTCTTTGAATATGAATATGTAACTCTCTGCGTACACAAACACGGAGCATAATGCAAAAGTATCAATCCCCGAACACATCTAATTCTGGGCATTATTAATGTTTTGGTCTTTAATTCTTGGACTCTCGAAAGGATCTCAAGAATAATTCTTGTACAATATCCTTTGAGAGAAAAGGTTGTTGAAGTAGAAATTGCAAGTGAACACTATTTAAAATTTATTATCTAATTTCTGTCATACTTTTTATCTAATTTTTAATCTCACTATTAATTTTTTAAGCTATATTATATTTAAGCTATATTATTTTTTAAGCTATATTATTGCGTTTAACAAAGTAAAAGCGAAAGGAAAATTGTACTTTCAAGAAACAAAATTGCTAACGAAAAGGTTAGCGTCGTTTAGCGCTCACGTGATTTTCCTTTTCCGTGCGCGATGTAATCGTAGGCAGTGCGATCGCACTTATCGATATTGGCGAAATCATTCGGTCATTTTATATCCAGAAAATTATTTACTTTTTTTTGTATCTCTCACCCCTCTTTTATTTTATCTCGTACACCTGTGGTCGACGTGTGCGCTAAAAGGTTGTTTTCAAAGTATCTTCGACACGTGAAATGGTTTTAAGAGAATAGGGCGCGGCGGGAACAGTGCTGTTTGTTCACTGTATAGATAAAATATTATTTGAAGCCGGGGATTTTCTGTCGGGATTTTATTTTTGACGCTCCCCCGGCCATTTCGCCCGTGGTGAGTTTTTGTAACGGGAAATATTCTGCAGTTAATCAACGCGGCGAGTAAACGGCAGAAATTAATGTCGTTACTATTGATGCTTTTACGAAACTTCACGTTTGAATATTTCAACGGGGCGTTTCATTTTTTATCGTAGGCAACGCGCCGCGCGCTCGCCGATGAAATTCGACGTAGGAATATTAATAGTGTTTTCGTGTTTCAACGCTACGTGAAAAAAAAAATACCGTCGCGCTGCTGAGCGTCAGGCCCCCACGGCCCGTTGAATAATTTAATTAAGGCGGCCTTTTTATTGTTGTTACGGCGCGCAGATTTCACCGCGATAAAAGTACAACTCTCATAAATTATGACACGGCTTATCTCGCCGGCTCGAGCACTCGCTGAAACGCGCGAAACACGACGGATGCGACAGGTCGTGAGGATAGGGTAAGCTGACGAGTACTCGATGCGAGATCTCCCGACATGATAGCTCAATTTCCGTGACGAAAAATTGCCCCGTCTTTTGCGTCTTATTGCTCCTTAAGGAGTTCATTATTTATCAGCGACCATATTCTTGACGTATAATCGAGAGCTAAGTACACCTTTCTGACTATCAAGTTGTATAATAAATCTTACACGGAACGCTCGTGTAAAGAAAAAAAACGGAACTTGAAACAAAAAGAGCGATCTTAGCGCCTGAAATGTGTTAAAAATCTCTGATCTCTGGTATGTATTTTTAGAACGCGAATTTAACGATTAATTCAATACAGTATATTCACATTTATAAAGGCAATTTAACAGATTATCGAAAAGTTTCCCTCATCGATTACTTCACGCCGCGACAATCGTGAAAGTCTATCTGGGAAGTCTGTCTGAAGCAAGCACAAATTGCAGGATGAATCCTCTTCCTCTTTACGTCTCGTCGTCGTGAATCTCGCGATGCGCGTTAACTCTACTTAAATGACGAGAATTCTCGTTATCGGTAGTGAAGGGCTTAAGGAGTTTATTTGTCAGATATGCATTTTCAAGGCACATCCAAGGAGCGTATTTTCAGTAGCGCGTCAAGGGAGCTACTCATAATAAATCTACTATTTATCAAATAAAATTACGTTTTTATATATTTACTTTATTATCTAAACATTTGGTTTGGAAGTAATTTCATAATACTATTTCGCCATGTTTCGCTCAGTATAATGCCATTTAAAGCATAAAACCGTAGCTTTTTGATCTACAATCGATCATTGCACTAAAACGGTCCAGTGAACACTATTCTTGCTTCTATTCTTGCGTTTGCTGATATGTGGCATTTATAATGTTAACTTTTTCACTTGGATGATATCACTTTTTACGAAGTTGCACCGGAATAATGGTTATCTGTGTTGCTTTTACCAGAAGAGCACACGTTACCAGAAGGTTATAGAATTGCAATATTCGATATTCATTGAATTCCTCATGCGGAACAATGCGGACAAATCGCATGTGACTTTATTACAAAGAATGTTTTTCATCACGATGATTGTTACATTCAATTTTTCCACGATTTTCAACATTTCATGAATTCCTTAACTCTCTAGTGAATATATGCTTTTGCTATTATTGCCATAATAACCTTATTCAATTAAATAAGCAGTTTTTCTGGCATTTAGAACACATTAGCTATCACTCTACTTCTTAAAAATTGTCTGTTGGGACAAATATGCCCTTTCAGAGACTCTAGTGAGACATCACTGTCTTACTCCTTTGGCGTCAAAACTTTGAATTTTTTTGGTAAAATCACATTATATTGATGTATTTAATGAAGTGAAAGTAAAACAAAATTGTACCTTCAGAAAAAGAAATTGATAGCGGAAGGCGTCATCGGTCCGCTCATTTTCGAGGTTTCGCGTGCGTCCAAGTGAAATCCGCTTTTATGATTCATCCCGCCGTGACGGACTTTGTTAGAAAATCCTGCAGCACTTGCGTTTCATACGCAACCGCGCTCGCTGCGTGTGTTCGCCAAGCCGTGCGTTCGGTCTCTCGGGAAAAACGGTAACTCACCTTCCGCCGAACGTGCCGTTTAGATAAGCACTTTCTAACGCACGCATCGAAAGTTCCGCTCCTACACAAACGATAAGCCGAGCCAGCGACCTGCGTTAGCGTGCTGCCGCCCCGACACTGGGCACATGCGTGTGTGAATGCGTGTTGTGTGTGTGTGTATGCGTGAGAATTATCGCAATCTCTGTCCTTTTTAAGCACGTTCTGTATTCATACGCGATGTAGGAATCTTGAGCACGCGTGTAGTTATGCATGATAAACGAAGCTAAAATGCTTCCTTTCGCGGGCCTTCCAGACATCCATCTGGACTAATGGTTGTGTCCGGATTAATCCGTGTTTTCACTTTTCATTTGTGATATATATATATATATATATATATATATATATATATATATATATATATATATATATATGTATTTTTTTTGTTTTTATAGATTCACGATTTCTAGTGTCGAAACTTCGTACGACTGTCAAGACAGTCAAGAGATGTATTTTGCCAATAGAAAATGTTAGCGCGTTCCGCGAGCCCAAATTTCAAATTATTACTTGAATTTTCGAACGCGATAATTATGGAATCACCAACAGATATCTAAACTATGTCATCGCTCAAATTACGAAGAGGAGAAACGCCTGTGCTCTGAATTTCAGTTTTTATAAAGTTTTATAAAGTTCTGTTTACATCCATGTTGGCAAAGGGAGTATGAGTCAGCACAAAGGGACAGAGATTTTAAAACGGGTGGTTTATTGACTCGACGCAAGTTCGATCCATATCCTCCCCACGCGCAGTTACTTTTATTGCGCAAAAAAAAAAAAAATAAACAGAGAGGCAGAGAGAGAGAAAGAGAGAGGAAAAGAGATGATACGCTTTGTCACTCGAGCGTTCGTGCATTGTACCGGTTTAGATGGCCGCGCTGTAACGGTCGGCCTGGCACAGTTTTGCATCTTCTCTTACTTCCATTTCAATTTTCCAAGCGCATCGTTACGCTGATTACCGTGTCGTTTGTCGTCGACGGCAGGCGACCTGTGATTTGTCATTCTCTTTCTTCATCTCTTTCTACTTCGCCCTCTTCTGTTCTTCTGCCTTGTGCGTCGCGAACGCACACATTGCGCGAGAAATGACGGAAAGAAGAGAAAATTATTTTCCTTGACTTCGCACAAACAGTATAGAAAGCAAACACGAGGTGACAATCCTAGGAGGGCTAAATGAATTCTCCGTTAAGTTCTACGGTCCACGAGGGAGTAAGTACCACTTTTGTCTTTATGTATTGTTAAGCCAGCGCGGTGCGACATGGAATTATTCAAAAGAAAAAAACAATCTCATCCTTAATGAAATTTTTCTATATATAGCTTTATACGAGAGAGTTCTTTTAAAATCAAAAGATATTCTAAGCACAATATTCTTAAACTTAGAGAAATTTCGTCTCTTCTCTACGAGTCTTATTCTTGATAGAAATTGCCTTAATAAGAGGGCGCTTAATAAGAGGGCTTCAAGTAAACGTATTCCTCTTGATTCGAGAAAGTAAAAAAGAATAATATATAATAGATTATACTGAGAGAAAAAATGCCTGAAAAATAAAAAATATTTATTCGGTATTAATAACACATTTAAATTTATTGTATATTACATGTTATTTATACATTATTTAAATTCTTTTGTTTAAGTAGAATAAACAATTGCTTGAATGAAAAGATGATGTTTTAGGAAAATATATTTTTTTACTCGAAGGAAAGAGAAATTTTTTCTCAATTGTAATTGAGAAAATTTTTGTAAAGATTTTATAAAGATTTCCGAATTTCGCTAAAAATGAAGTTAATATTTTGATGGTTGACAGACTCGAGACACGGTTATTTTAATATGATCGAGACGTAGCCGAGTGTTCCATGTTGCACTGCGCGAATTACATTTGCGATAAGTTATGCTAAGTAAGAGAGTCGGAGAGACCGCTTAGCGAAACCAAATGGCGAACTTAGTGAAGCCAAGTAACTGACTCTCGATTGTCTATTCGACGATCTAATTACACTGAGAATAAAGAAAAGCAAGATCGACAAAATCGGCGGTAAACAAAATATTATAATTATAAATTATAATATGTATCTATTGAACAAATTACGCGTAGTGTAACGGATAAGTTGCGTTGATGTGCTTATCGATCAAATCACTGTAAATCAATTAATAACTCATCACAGTAACTATATCGTTCAGTCGACTAAACGCCCGCTTGAACGAATTTTGCTCATTCAAGCGGAGTCTCATTAACTCAACCATTTTTTTTCTCAGTGTAGGCCTTGGTAAGGTGATAATCGCGCTGAAGGTCCGGTTCGCCGGTCTTTCGATTGCGCGTGTTCTCTTGCCAAGCACGAACTTGGCATATTTGCCTTTGAAAACAAGACTCGCGAGCCGATATCACTGTGCGCGCGTCAGCACAATTACGAATAATGATTTTTATCGGCGCAATTTTACCTGGCATTGAGGTGTGCGTTAATCCAACGCTTAATAGATAACCTTCGGGCTGTGTCACGCTCAATTTCATAGTTTCTCGCGTATCTCACCTTGGTCCACTATTATTGTCGCACCGGAATTAACGTGCTCACTCGAAAGGACGCGTGACCGCCTCGACGATTACCTGATTATTATAAATCTGACGTGATAAATCAGCAGTTCGGTGGATTTCACGACGACGCCGCCGGTAATAGTGCGCGAGAAAAAACGGGAAGCGTCTTTGTTACTTTCACTTACGTGGTGCAACAAACATAATTTGTCGTGAGGCAGAAACGTGGACGTTTCCACGACTTTCTGGCTCTCGACTCTTGCTGAGATTGAATATGATTAAGACGCAATGGTGTCATCGTACGGCCTGAGCGTTCGACACGTTTTCACTTCTCGTTGTTCCAAGGTCCGCGCGCATCTCGTGGAAAACCGGAAGCGCTTACGCAACGTCGTGCTTGCGATTTTCTCGGTTTGCCGGACACGCGTGCGAGGCGTGGAATCGATTGACGCCGCCGCCGAAGAAAGTTACCTTGACTTCACCATTGACGAAAGAGACGATTGTGTTCGATTGTCCCCCTTCCTCTTACCCCTATCGGAACGCTTTCAAACAGAGCGTGTTGAAAATATCTCGTGAATGACGGAGCTGTACGTGTGCTTATCTGTCTCTGCCGGAGATAAGAAAGCGAGCAGTTTTATACACACAAAAAATGACTTAGTAATATCAGCTAAACGCGGTAGCTGATTCAAACTTAGTCAAAAGACTAATCGTTTAGCTGTTACTGCTAAGAATTGACAGCTAAAATGCATTCGTTATGAAATACAAATATGTTAGGTGACATTAAAAATGCACATTATTTCAAGTAGCTAAGAAAATGGCAGCTATTCCTAAATTTCTTATCGTATGCATATATTAAAGCAGTTTGTCGTACAGCTACAATCATTTGCTATAGTCATTTGTTTTTAGCAGCTAATATTTCTCGCTGTAACATCTAAGTTTAAACAACGAATAAATTTAGCTTCGGCAGTATCGACATTAGCTGTCCCTATTTCAGTGATACATCTTATCTGCCACAACTATTTTTTAGCTCTGGAAACTAGTTTTTTTCTGCGTGTAAACTATTTCGCGGATGGAGAGATTTGCGGAGGTGGGAGAGAATGCGCACATACAGAGAAATGCATACTGCATTCGAGTAAGTGCACTGAGAAGAAAGTATTTGAAAATTTATTTGTGTGATATAAAGTTTATTCCTGCGAAATAAAGTTAATTTCTGCGAAATAAATTTTTGCCTCCCACACCCGCAAATAAATTTTCAAATATTTTTTCTCAGTGTGTTACTTGTCTCACGCATTTTGTAAGTTTATGTATCCGTAAATCTGTCATAAGTTCATCACTAGCATCAAATTTATTTAAGTTTAGAATACCTTCTGAATCTTATAATGAGAAAAAAATTGTTAGTATTTGTAATTACATAGAGAAATAATTAACTACAAATTATGGTGAAGGAGACTATTTTTTCATTAAATTCTACTATAATATTAGCAACAATAACTTTATATGCGTGTTACCACTGCCATTTTTGCGTTAGTAGAACAATAAAAAATGTGGTTAAGACTAAAAGTGATTATAATTTTATTTGGGCTGATCACTTCTTTTTTTTCTCAACGTGATAAGTTTAACATTTTAATCGAGAATATTAAGTCTTACTACAGTTTGGGTTTTTGGGCCACTTTTGCCCTAGTTTTTAAACCGGAAATTTTTCGTGTATGTCAAAGGATAGATTGGTAAAAAACATGACATTCCCACTGCACCACTACAGTGGTTGTTCGGGTTATTAGGGTTAAATTAAAACAGATATTCTGTTTGCTTGTCGAGCCAACTTCCTCTCGGACAAAATTTCATGATGTTCTCGTGTAAAGAGAACGAATCTTTCCTTTGAGCGTATGATAATGAGCTTCCCAAATTGGTGACGAGCACACATCAGAAGACTATCTCACCAAGAAAATATTTTTCGCCGAAAGTAACCTTTACATCGAAAAAGGAAACTAAACCGAGTAGTAATCGTCTTGCTTCAGCAGTAGATTGGTATTTTTCTCAGCGCACGAATTACGAGAGAACTGTTGTGGGGATTTCGTGGACGTGCGGAAATTTTGATCGACGAGGGCAGCGAAAGCACGAAGCCGAAATGATTTTCGCGAAATCCGCGAAGCGAAGACCCACGTAGTTCATGTGCAGCAATTAATTCCGAAGTAATTCGGCGGAACGATCAATTCGGAACCGCGAGAGAGTTTCCGCGTTGGTGGTTGGTGCCACCAACATTGCGATTGTACTCTCTGCTTTCCGCGGAGAGAACGCGTCGCGAATTCGCGCCGAAAACACGCAACAGGACACGGGCCTCGCGAGCTCGCCAATTTGCGCGTTTGCTTTCGAACGACTCGACCGAAATTCTGCGATTGCGTAATGAATTTCGCTTTTCCGCGTAGGGAGGAGGGGGCAGGGGGAGGAGAGCGAGTCGCCTCGAAGACGAAAGTTTCTTGACCCGGCAGGCCAGCCAGCTGGAATCGCGCAACCACCTTCGTAACGCTCTAAATTAGATCGCCTTTCAGATAGGTCCTTTGAAACGGCTCCAGCTGCACTCGCGGATGTAACTTCATTTGCTTGAGACCGTACTTTGGTCCTTACCCCGACGACGAGATAGGCTACACTTGCGGCGAAGCATGCCGCGGGTGTAATCTCCGTCCGGACTGCCCGAGTAAATTGTAGAAACGTGATATTCGAACGTAATCGGATCAGAGACGCGATTCGCCTTACATGCCGATAAAGCTTGATAAAGGATCGCCAGGTGTCTGGATAATCAGAATAGGAGAAATCGTGACGTAAGCTCGTGCGTATAATTTTGCAACTCTGCTATTGACATTAACGTCATTGATCATCTTTTTTGGTAATATTGATGTTGAACTAAAATCATCAGGATTCTATTATCTATGATCGATCGAATATAATGTTGTACGTGAGTCGTTCAGAAAGTACATGGCCGAATACAGAGATAGCACGAATTTGGCCAAGTCTTTATTTCCGAATTTCAAAGCCATCCTTTATCCTACTGATAGTATATTTCTGCACTGACAGAAAAAAATAGTTGTCCTAACTAAAAATATTATTACTCCAATTATATTTTTTGTAGTAATATGATTGTAGTAACATATATATAAGGTACACACACACACACACATACACATATATATATATATATATATATATATA